ACATCTCTACTACCTCCAAACTTCTCTTTGCTGCAACATTCACAATCCATATTGCCGGACTTGAGTCCCGGAGGTGGGAAGTGCAGTGCCTGCATTCTGAAGGAGGGGTGTTAATGTTGCAGTTTTATAACTGTAGTGTAAGCATTCCTCTGGCAAGACAGTGATGGAGTGAATGATGATCAGAGTTTTTCTTTTGGCCACCCTGCCTTGGTGGGAAACAGCTGATGTGATAAGATTGTGTTTGAATTTTTAACCCTGGAGGGTTAGCTACCCGGAAAACCCCCAAAGAAAGACAGTGCATCATGGGGGACTGTCTGTTTTTTTTCCCAAAGGGGGTTTTCCAGTCTTGTCCCCAGGGGGGACCCGCCCCAGCGACTAACACCAGGTACCTACTTGTGGTAAAGGAAAAGGTGAAAGGGAAGCTTTGAATGTTTCCCCCCGAAATCAACCCCGGACCCTCACCTTGAAGCGAGGCTTCAGAGTTTAGGGTTACGGGGTACTAAAAGTATTATCAAGAGACGAAGAGGGGAAAACCCCGTGAGTGGATTGAGTCCTGGGGAAAGGAAGACGTGTCGCACTTTAAAGGATGGGTAGAATATTACTTTTTGAAGGGGCTTAAAATGTAATGTTGAGTTGAAGCAGTAATAGTGTGATGATGATAAAAGCATTTTTTTTTTTAGGTCCCCCTATTGGTGGGAGACACCGGTGTTTTAAAAAAAAAAAATTTTTGGGAAAATTTAAAGGGAGAAAAATTGGATTTTTAAATAAGTGAATTCCTCACCACTTGTTTATTATTCAAGCATTATGCGTCTAGCTCAGTGTTTTTTTGTTTGCTTTGCCAGAACCCTTGCCAATTAACCCCTTAAACAGTCCAAACGTATATATCGTTCACTACGTAGCCCCCCAAATATTTTAGGAAAAAAAATCTTTTCTTTTTAAAAGGGAAAAAAAAAAAAGGTATGATCCCCGGGCATGCCAATTATTTTAATATGGAACATGGTGTGACACCCCTTCTTTTATGTTAGGTGATAGTTTATTTTGGGAATGTTTAATGAAATTACAAAGAAAAGTTAATAGTTTGGGGCACTACGGCCCCGAAAGTTATTACTTTGGAAACGTTTTTTTTTAAGGGGTAAGGTTTTCCCACTTGCACCTTTTTTACACTTAACTTTTAAAATTGCCGCAATACTGTTGCCCCTATTTGGGTTTATGCATAATTTCATTTCTTTTTTTTTTCTCTTTTTCCTTTTCTTTTTTTCTTTTTTCTTTCTTTCTTTCTTTTTTTCTTTCTTTTCTTTTTTTTCTTTTCTTTTTTTTCTTTTTTTTTTCTTTTTTTTTTCTTTTTTTTTTTCTTTTTTCTTTCTTTCTTTTTTTTTTTCTTTCTTTCTTTCTTTCTTTCTTTCTTTCTTTCTTCTTTCTTTCTTTCTTCTTCTTGTGTACGAATGGTTATATAATACCGACAGATGAGATTAAGACCACTTATGCAACATTGGGTATCTTTATTGTAGACGTTTCGCCATCCAGTGGCTTTATCAATACAAATTCGAGGACATAACTTTTCTTCTTCTTCTTCTTTTCTTCTTCTTCTTCCTTTTCTTCTTCTTCTTCTTCTTCTTCTTTTTATTTTTTATTATTATTATATTATTATTATTATTATTTTATTATTATTAACATTTAGTGCTCCCCATGTAATACATCTTTGAGACTAACATTAAATATAATAGGACTAAACATTATGCCTTAACAACATCCTTTTTGCTAAAACATAAACAAAGGCAAATTCCGGGTCTACACCTTGTCAACAACCTGAAATTCAACACCCATATTGCAACACATAACAAAAAAATTATCTAAAACAGTTGATCTTTTCAAGGAATACATTACTGTATACACAAACAGGCACTACTTAAACTATACTGTTTCTCTGATCACAAAGTCAGTACTTAACCCAACAAAAAGTGCAGTGCAAATGATTACACAATCCAAACTAGGTACAACACCCTCCATGACTTTTCAAAGACTTAACCTATTCACATACAAAAAAACATCCACTCATACTACTGTGCAAACTTCATTTACAGAAAAATCAATTCTAATATAATTCCTGACCTGAAGCACTTTCTTGACAGTTGCAATAGAACCCATGCACACAATACCAGACCCAAAAATCCCTATAACATTCCCCGTATCAGGATAAATCTTTTCAAAAACTCAGTGTACATAAAAGGACCCAAAACCTGGAACTTTCTGCCAGAAATCTCCAGAACCACTGGCTTAGCTAGCATTTTTAAAGCTACAGTTAGAAAACACCTTATCTTCTTAACCTATCCTAACCCATCTTCATTGAATATGTAAAAACCATACATGCATTTGCTCAATATCATAAACCTAGGTAAAACAATATCTTAATCCTCTCAGATGTAATGTTAATCATTCCACTGTGTTCATCTTAGGTTAATAATCAAAACTGTAATTCTTCTCTACAAGACTTATCAAAACCATATAGCATGAACTAATAGAATATTCAATTTTCTTGTAATCAATGTAACTCACCCAATGATCATATGTACAGTTATTACACTGATATTGCCTTATTAAATCCTAAGTTAGTCTTAAGTTTGCCCCAAAAAAGCTATGCATATTGAGGGGCCTTTTGGCATGTACACGATTGTTATTACTCCTTTGTGCAAACATGTATTGTAGTATGCTAAAAATAAAGATTCTTTTCTTTTTCTTCTTCTTCTTCTCTTTTCTTCTTCCTTCTTCTTCTTCTTCTTCTTATTTTATTCTTCTTTTCGTATTCTTCTTCTTATTTTTATTATTATTAGCAGCCGCCGACGTCCTCCGCCTTCCTCCTCCTCCGCCCTCCTCCTCCTCCTCCCGCCTCCTCAACTCCTCCGCTCCGCCTCCTCTCCTCCGCCTCCTCTGTCCTCCTCCGCCTCCTCCTCAGCCTCCTCTCATCCCGCCTCCTCCTCCGCCTCCTCCTCTTCCGCCTCTCTTCCTCCGGCCCCTCTCCTCCTCTGCATCTCCTCCCTCCACTCCTCTCCCTCCTCCCTGCTCCTCCTCTTGCTGCTCCTCCTCCTCTGCCTCCTCCTTACTCCGCCTCCCTCCTCCTCTGCCTCCTCCTCCGCCTCCTCCTGTACATACAGGGACAGATCTGTTATGAAACTAATAAAGCTTAAGCTTCAGGGCCCCAAATCCCAGAGGGGCCCCAGAAGCCACTTTAGTCCACATTGCTTAATATAACAGTTCAAGCTTGAGGGCCCCCAAAATGTAGGTCCATCACTATATACATATGCCATCACAGTACTGAATGATCAACTAGACTATTCATAGATAAGATGGTCTGGTATGCAAGTTTATCAGATAGAATTATTTACTCAGTAATATGATAATTGTAATCTAAAGATACAGGGAACTATTGCACTAATATACCACTGTTCAACTAGGGCAGTACACTGAGAAGGGTAATATTCCTATAAGGGCAATATTTGCACCCCTCTGCATCTTACCCCAGCATAATCTATCACCATTCATAGAGTTTTATGTTCAATTAAATTTTTTCAAAATCAAAAGATGAGAAGAGAAACCAGACACAAAGACAATTTTTTATCTTACATAGCATTTTGCTTGGGATAAACTTTATAAAATGGTTATAGTGGAAGGTTAGTTAAGGAAAGATCCACTTTGTCACCATGGGAAGGTACAGTACTACTGGCTAGAGGAAAACTGACTATAATGACCAAAAGGTGTTCCATAGCTCAGTTGGTAGCACACTCAGCTCACACTCTGAGGTCCCTGGTTTGATCCCTGGTTCGAGTGGAAACATTGGGCATGTTCCCTTAAAACGCATGATGTCCATGTTCACCTAGCAGTAATTAGGTACTTGGATGTTAGCTGATTGGTGTGGGCTGCATCCTATACCTATACCTGGAGAGGGTTTCGGGGGTCAACGCCCCTGTGGCTCGGTCTGAGACCAGGCCTCATGGTGGCTCAGGGTCTGATCAACCAGGCTGTTACCACTGGCCATACACAAACTGACTTACGAACCACAACCTGGCTGGTCAGGTACTGACTGTAGGTGCCTGTCCAGTGCCTTCTTGAAGACAGCCAGGGGTCTATTGGTAATCCCCCTTATGTATGCTGGGAGACAGTTGAACAGTCTTGGGCCCCTGACACTTATTGTGTCGTCTCTCAGTGTATTCGTGGTGCTCCTGCTTTTCATTGAGGGAATGTTGCATCTCCTGCCGAGTCTTTTTCTTTCATAGGGAGTGATTTTTGTGTGCAAGTTTGGCACCAATCCTTCTAGGATTTTCCAAGTGTATATTATCATGTATTTTTCTCGCCTGCATTCCAGGGAATACAAATCAAGGGACTTCAACCATTTCTAATAGTTTAGATGCTTTATCATATTTATGTGTGCCGTGAAAGTTCTTTGTACGCTATCCAGGTCAGCAATTTTGCCTGCCTTGAAGGGGGCAGTTAATGTCCTGGGAACAAAATTAACCTAATTTGCTTGAAATTCTCTGCATAACCAGGGGCTTTTATATAGTACAGTACTGTATGTCATTCATGTCAGCCAGGTATGTCTGTGTAAAGTGTATATGTACTTGTAGAAATAAAGATTATTATTATTATTATTATTATTATTAAAATAAGCATAGTTCTTCTCTTACTTCACTATCCAGTCTTTATTTTTTTTTAACGTGTTGTCCAATGCCCATCGTGGAAGGGTAACACAAAAAAGAAACGCTTTCACCATCACTCACTTTCACTGCCATAGGCCTGCAAATACAACAGTTTACAGTCACTCTAAACAGCAAACATCCCAAACTCTTCACCATTCAGTCTTATTTCCCGAGAATGCCTTGTATAATGTCTTTCTATAAAGTTCATAGTTTATTTAATGCAGTTATCCTAATTGTATAATATATTGTACTCCACCTTATAGAAATAAAATTTGTCTGTTGCATAATTATGGACTGTATTTCATGAAACAGGAGCCATTACACATCATAGGAAGTGGACTTCAGAAAAACCATAAAAGCAATAGTGAGGCAACTTTACATCAATTGAGAAATACTCAAGTGGAGACTTCCCAGCCCAGTGACTGGAAGGATGAACTTAGAGATATTCAGGTAATTACATTAAGTTAGTTACACCCACATTACCATTTCTTGGAAAGTTAAGTTGTAAGCCAAGTTTTTAAGAGTTAATGGCACATTAATTAAGTTCAGTTACATATTGAGTATTATGCAGATAACCACTATGCATAGGAGAAGGAAACTTATGATGACATTTTGGTCCGACTTGGACCATTAACTAGTCATGCACTCTGTGTGACTACAGGCGCTCCTCGACTTACGATGGTTTGACTTACGATATGGTTTCAATTACTTTGGATATGAAGCTTGAGATAATTACCCAGCATGAAGGCAACATAATCCATAACTTGTATTTAATTACTTTTAAAGGCTGGTATTTAGTTAGCTAATAGTAAATATTTGTTTATTTATTAGTGACATATTTATCATATATTCATATTCGACTTACAATATTTTTGAAATATAATAGGTTTGTTGGAACATAACCCCATCATAAGTTGACAGCCACCTGTAGTTAATGGTCCAAGTCGGACAGAAATGTCATGATAAGTTTCTCTCTTCTATGTGTGGGTTATTTGTGTATTGGTCCAGTTATGGTATTATGACTTTTTGTTCGTCAAATAAACACTTGCAGGCTGCGCGTGTGGAACGAGAAGTAGCCAGATTCCAAAGAACTATCAACGAGACTCAGCGGAGGTGGGAAGAAAACTACGCGCGTCATGCTCCTCGAAGTGTCCATGCTAATGGACAGTCTGACAGCTCCACAGAAGTTCTTCATAATCCACGTGTTGGTATGTTCTACTTGAGATCAAAAGATTTAACAAGAACTGACATTTTTTCCTCAAATATCATCTTTTACATTGATCCCCAAAAGTCTATTAGATCATTCTGGAGTGCTCTAATGTTCTCATTAGAATGAATTGGATGGCCTGTTTTGGTGTCATCAGCAAATTTGCTTATGTTTTCATTTTACAATTAGTAATTTATGCTCCCGGCATTTTAGTCGCCTCTTACGACACATGACTTATTGAGGAAGGATTCTTCTCCACCTTCCCATGGATTTGCTTATTATTATATATAATATTTGAGTGGAGCTATGATCTTAGTGTACTCTTGTCTCAAAAGATACAGAAGTTATAAGACTCAACCCTTGCAGCCATGCATATAGGTGAGTATCTACATATGATTGATTTTTAGAGTTTTCATTTCACAGCCCAACCTAAAACTCAGCTTCCTTTGCTGACTGTGATCAATCAGGCTGTTACTGTTAACAGTCTGCAGGCCCACATAGTTATCACTACCCAGCTGATCAAGCATTTTCAGATGATGGTGCTCGTTTCCTCTTGAAACATTTTACCTTCACATTGGCAACATTTCCACTATCTGCTTTTAAGAAGTTGAGTTGTCATGGATTCAGGTGTTGACACGGTGTTCTTTAAATGTTCATTTGACACCCCTATAGTACAGACAGGCTCCACTTAGGTTAGGTTCCTGGCTACTGCTGTAAAGTAAAACTTAGCCTTTTTTCATTTTCAAATAAAAGCCTGACAGCATGTTTACTCTATCATATATTAACCCTTTCACTGTCGAGACCCTTGCTCACAAACTTTCTCTCAGTGTCGAAGAATTTTCAAAAAATTAAAAAAAATATTTTTTCTTATGAAATGATAGAGAATCCTTTCCCAGTGGTAATGACACCAAAAGTACGAAATTTGATGGAAAACTTATGGAATTACGCTCTTGTGAAGTTAGGGGTCTTGATGATATTTACGCATTAGCGATTTTGCCCACTTTGAGCCCTTTTTTCGGCCAATTTCATTGTTCCAGTCAGCCAAACTCAAGTTTTTTCTGTTGAATGAGTACAAGAAACTGCTCATTTACCAATTTCAATTGCCCAATAAAGTGTTCAGAAATTGGTAATCTGGCCAGTTTCATACACAATTCAAGTAAGGCCAATTTCAAAATAGGGTCCAAAATTAACAATACAAACATTCCCAGCACTAAAATAACATTTTCTCTGTTCATTAGTCACATCTCCAGGCTCCTCTTATATTATGCTTGCTTTCCATTTTGAATTTTTATTCACACAAAAAAATAGAAGATTTACTGTTATGCAGACTACTGCATTATTGTAAAAGTGGTATAAATAATATCAGTGCATTTGTGAAAGCATATTAGGCCCATCAGTTGACGTGTATTGGAAGCGTGACTTGATTTGTACATCAGCAAAAATCTGAACATCGGCAAAAATTGAATATTTCCGCAGCTCTGAGCTCAATTTCAAGGTACTTTTAATCCATAAACCATTCAAAATCATCTTAATTTCTGTAATGTATCTTCCATTCTATCAAATGAGACCAAGAAAATGAGAATACAGCCATAAATACAACACAAAAATACACCCCAAAGTCAGTGTTTTAAACCAAAAACATGGTCGGAGTTTTTTTTTTCCTCACAATGCACTGCATGCTGCAGGATTTTTCTTATACTGCACACACTGACCACTCAGATCCATTCTCTCATATGTAGGCCTACCAGCTTTCTTGTGCAAGATTGGAAGCTGCTAGAATTTTGGTGTAATATTACGGGACCGACAGTTGTTTGCAAGCCATAATATTATTCAAATTCAAATTCAAAGTTTATTCTCTGTAAGGATTATAATGCTGAGTGACTGACAGTGGTTTGCAAGCCATAATATTATGGGACTGACAGTGGTTTGCAAGCCATAATATTACGGGACCGACAGTGGTTTGCAAGCCATAGTATTACGGGACTGACAGTGGTTTGCGAGCCATAATATTACGGGACCGACAGTGGTTTGCAAGCCATAATATTATGGGACTGACAGTGGTTTGCAAGCCATAATATTATGGGACTGACAGTGGTTTGCAAGCCATAATATTACGGGACCGACAGTGGTTTGCAAGCCATAATATTACGGGACCGACAGTGGTTTGCAAGCCATAATATTATGGGACTGACAGTGGTTTGCAAGCCATAATATTATGGGACCGACAGTGGTTTGCAAGCCATAATATTATGGGACTGACAGTGGTTTGCAAGCCATAATATTATGGGACTGACAGTGGTTTGCAAGCCATAATATTACGGGACCGACAGTGGTTTGCAAGCCATAATATTATGGGACTGACAGTGGTTTGCAAGCCATAATATTATGGGACTGACAGTGGTTTGCAAGCCATAATATTACGGGACTGACAGTGAAAGGGTTAAGTGAGCAATAGAACTAGGTTTAAAAAATGCATATACAGTACACACATTATTTACCTTAAAATATTTTCATCCTTGTAATGAGTGGTGAATATATGTTTTGTAGGAAGTCTGAACAAATGAAGAGTGTGTATAATTGAAAGTCACTGCAGTTGCAAAATGTCATAAAGTGAAGAGCTGCAAAGTGGGGCCTGCCTGTTTTTATTTTTAGCTTTACGTATTCTACATTTTATCTCATCTCTCTCACACTATTAAGTTGATATCATGGAGTGCAGATTGAAGACCTGACCCATCAGTATTTTTCCCCAGAAGGGAGGCACATTACCTTGATGCCTGTGAGGGGTTCTTGATACAAGTAACTGGACTTATCTTACCCTGTCTTGGACTGAACCTACTTGCCTCCCCAGGCACTGTATAATGTAATAATGTTGGTAGAACTACTAACAGTATCTTAGATAAAAGTACATGTGCCACTAATGCAACATTTTGTTAAGCTTTGTCAAGACTTGACAAAGCTCCTGGACAGCAAAACATTGCCACAATAAATTATCACATGAGCTGCACATGTATTCTTTTACCTAACATACTGCATATGTAATGTGTATGGGTTTAGTGTTTCCCATTGATAAAAATATATGATTTTCCATTCACAGGTATGCATATTTATCAGGTAACTTTTTCTTCTCTATTCTTGAGAGTGCTTTAAGGCATTCCCAGTAGTTTAGGTGTTTTATTAATTCTCTATGTTAATCACTTATTGTAATATTTCTGCAAAAACTTTTAAGAATTAACAAAAAAAGGCACAATACCATGACTGGAGCGATACACAAATAACCCGCACATAGAAGAGAGGAGCTTACGATGACATTTCGGTCCGACTTCGACCACTTACAAAGTCACACTGAGTGACTTTGTAAATGGTCCAAGTTGGACCGTAACATCGTCTTAAGCTCCTCTCTTCTATGTGTGGGTTATTTGTGTACTTTTAAGAATTGAAAATTTACTGTAATATTTCCACAAACACTTTTAAGAAATGAAAATTTATTACCTTTCCTATCACTTTCAGATGCATACTTGGTTCCCCGTCGCCATGACCTCTGGCGGACTGTGAGTGAAGACACTATCGCAGTACAACCAAGGGATAGAACAGTTCTGCAGCCACTTTTGAGGCACACAAGTGCTGATAACCTGCAGCCCTCTGCTAAAGTTTCAAACCTACACAACCTGGGCTCAGTTCCCCTTCATAACATGAGCAGTATGAATTCGGTGGGCAGCATGAGCAATATTAATATAAACAGCTTAACTGGCCTAGGCAAACGTACTAATTACCAGCACCACTCAAAATTTGGAAGATCAGTAGAGAGTGTGAGTACATATAGTGAGGGAGATAGCCATGGTGAAGGATTGGACAGTGATGCATCTATACGCACACCAGAGGAAGTACCTGCTCTTCCTTCAGTCAGGAAACTGGCCTCCAAGTTTGACCTGGCCAGCCAGGAACGAGTCAATGATTTAGACAAACATGGGAAGGCTGTAAGTATTCATTGTAATTTTCACTGTACAGTGGACCCCCGCATAACGATTTTAATCCGTGCAAGAGGGGTAATTGTTATGCGAAATAATCAGTATGTGAATGAATTTTCCCCATAAGAAATAATGGAAATAAAATTAATCCGTGCAAGACACCCAAAAGTATGAAAAAAAAATTTTTACCACATGAAATATACATTTTCCTACACACAAAGAGAAGGATACATGCACAATAGTAGAGTAGTACATGCACAGTATATATTGTGCATGTACTAATCTACTAAATGAAGAATAAATGACACTTACCTTTATTGAAGATGCAGCAATGACTGATGAGACACTGTGTCCTGGGAGTGCCTTTTCCTCCTGAGTACTGTAGGTCCTGTTTGGCATTTTCTTCCAGAACAGGCCTTATCACACTGTGTATGCCACTACGATTCTTAAATCTCTCAAACCAACCTTTGCTGGCTTTAAATTCACCAATATGAGCACTAGTTCCAGGCATTTTTCCCTGTTCACCTGGGTGTTAGTCGACTTGTGTGGGTTGCATCCTGGGAGACAAGATTAAGGACCCCAATGGAAATAAGTTAGACAGTCTTCGATGACACTGACATTTTTGGGTTATCCTGGGTGGCAAATCCTCTGGGGTTAATTGTTTCTTGGTATTCTCAATAAGCCACACCAACAACGGTGCTACAGCAGCAGCAGCAGCTGACGGTGGTACAGCAGCAACAGACGATGCTACAGCAGCAGCAGACGATGCTACAGCAGCAACAGACGATGTTACAGCAGCAGCAGACGATGCTACAGCAGCAGCAGCAGCAGACGATGCTACAGCAGCAGCAGCAGCTGACAGTGCAGCAGCAGCAGCAGCTGTACCACCAATAGTAGCGATGGTTGATTGGGGTTTATTATACAACCTGGCCAGCTCGGAGACACGCACTCCACTTTCATACTTATCAATGATCTTTTTCTTCATCTCTATTGTAATTCTCACCCTTATTGCTGTAGGGTTGGCACTAGAAGCTTTCTTGGGGCCCATGGTCACTTATTTTCCAGAAAAAGCACCGAAAACACTGTAATAATACGAAATATTCCGATTGTATGCTTGGATGTTACCGCGGAGGCTGGCTGGTAAACAATGCCACCGGCGGAACATGTGAGCGTGGCTCAGGCCGCACATTGGACGCGTCTCGGACGAAAATCGGTGAGCGGGTTTTTAAGCGGTATGTGAGGCAAAATTTTTGCGATTAAAGCAAGCGGTATGCGGATTAATCGCTATGTGATGCCATCGTTATGCGGGGGTCCACTGTATTGATTTCACGATGGTACAGTATGTATATAAACATAAAATACACATAAATTATATACAGTACAGTGGAACCTCGGTTTTTGTGATTAATCCGTTCAGAAAAGTCTGATGATAAACTGAATCGCACAAAAAACTGAAGCAATGTTTCTCATAAGAAATAAAGGGTATCTTGGTACAGACCTGCAATCAACTTCAACAACCTCTACTAGTGAGAACGGCTGGATTTGAGAGGGACCTGACCTCCCAACATCTGCGTTCTTACTTCTACTAGTGACCTTCGTCTCACCTCCTGGCGCTATATAAGGCTCCAACCTCAAAACTTTAAGGGTGATGGACTGATTACATCGTCTTCAAGTCTCTTCTGCTTCTATCAACTTTTCTGTACTCGACTGAAGAAGCCTACTGTGTAGGCGAAACGTTTCGAAATAAAGATACCTAACTGTTGCATATGTGTCTTACCTAACAACCTGTCGGTATTTTATACCATTTTAATGTTCAATTCATTCCAGACACCCAAAAATATTAAAAAAAAAAAAACATTTTATAGAGAATAACTCTAATTTTATATACAAACTAGGGCATACAAAAACTGAGGTTCCACTGTACAGTATTTAAGCAATGGTATTAATTATATAATACAATGACTATTAATCATAATTCTTTACTTTTAAGTTATTGAATTATCATAAAGTATACTGCATTAACAGATGTGAAAATTAACTTGTACTTTATTAACAGAATTCTCTTTCATTCTATGGAAAGAAGAACATCTTCATGATTGAGAAGTCAGCACCAAGTGACCAACCATACAGTCGTAGCTTCATCAACAACCTTAACAAGCGAACAGAGAAGCCATATGTTGTTAAAGAGGTAAGGTCTTTGGCTAGTGGTGAAGGTTCCCGTCCTTCTCCTGAGACTGACATGTATGAGAGTGATGTGGACAGCACTGAATTTGATGATGAGGCAACAGTAACCAGCCTTAGTCTACCACCAACTCCTGGCTCACTTAGTGATAAGCACAGCTTAAGTAACTCCAGCCTCATAGACACTGACTCCTGCTTTTCAACGGACTGTAGGGACTCAAATGTGACTACTTCATATGACCAGTCTAGTAATAAAACTATTTTTGGAGTAACTCTCCGTAAGACAACCACAAATCCTTATGGCAGCTTTGATAAAAGGAAGCAAACATCACTTTCCAGCATTTCTTCTGTGGAGGAAGTGCAGAGAGCATCTTCTAGAGTGAGCAGCCACAACAACAGACACTCATGGAATACCAGCACAGATGATCTGGAAAGGGAAGTGACTCCATCTGACTGTGACTCAGATGCATCTAATAGAAAATTCTATTATGGAAGCATGTCAGATCTATCCAATGAGGAGTCTGTCAAATTAAAAGATCAAAAACAGTTCCATAGTTCATTTGATTTATCTTCAATTTCAAGATCATTAGAAACAGAGCACTGTGTAGGACCTCTTCAGGTGAATACAAAAGGAATTAAACAAAGAGAAACAATTCAGCAAAAGAACAAGCAGGCAGGCACAGCAAGTGTTTGCTTATTGTCTGGTTCAGCCTTTGCACCGAAAGGAAAACGAAGAATGAGTGACTTCCTAAATAGCTATGTAGGACATAAATCGATACACGATTTGAACCGAATAGATGAAAAAACAGAAGAGGATACAAATAACCAGAGATACAGAGTTGCTTATAAGACACAAAGTCATTCAGTTTCAGACCTTCCAAAAGAACCCCTTAAGAAGAATGATGCATTGAAGAGATCAGTGAGGGAAGACACATCTAAGAGATCAGTGAGGGAAGATACATCTAAGAGATCAGTGAGTGAAGATACATCTGAGAGATCAGTGAGTGAAGATACATCTAAGAGATCAGTGAGTGAAGATACATCTGAGAGATCAGTGAATGAAGATGCATCTAAGAGATCAGTGGGTGAAGATACATCTAAGAGTGAAGATACATGTAAGAAATCAGAGAGTGAAGATACATATACCAAACCAGAGACTGAAGGATCATTCAAAAGTATAGATAAGAATGCTTCAGGACAGGAAAATAACAATGACATCCAAGTCAGACTCAAGGAACCGAAAAATAAGACAGTGTCAGAAGTAAATGGAATTACACAACAACCATTCCTTAATTATTTGGAAAAAGCAGAAAATTCACTCCAAACATCAGGCCAAGATACCTTAGATTCATTTGCTTTTGTCAGTCAGGAGTCAGTTGATAGTAGTAAAGCCGTAAATTCCTCTGACAGTCAATCTCTTGAACTGTCCCAAATGTCCAATGCAGATGTTTGGGATGGCGCATCTTTTATACACACCTCAGATGATACAAATACCGGTACATTGATCAAATCCACAGACAATGATCAATTTAAAATAGATTTAAATGAGGCTTATATTTCAACTTTTTACAATCAGCTGGTGGTAGATAATTCTCAGTCATTAACAAAGTCAACTGTTGATACACTCCCTGTTGGAGATTCCCCCGTAACACTTAGTAAAGGAGGTAAGGAAGAAACAGTCATTAGCACAACAAATGTGCATCCTGTACAAAAACGCAGGTCCATTGGGGACTTCTTAAAGGGGTACACAAATATAAGTTCCCTGGATGAAAAAACCACTTTTAATAAAGTAACAATTCCTAAAAATGCCAACACAGAAACAAACTTGACCCTCATAGCTGTTTCTGACAGTAATGTTAACATGCAGCCACAAGATCAGAGTGTTCCAGCATCCAGGGCCAATGTTCTAGTATCAAGAGCCAGTGTTCCAGCATCTGGGGCCAATGTTCCAGCATCCAGGGCTGGTGTTCCAGAATCCAGGGCCAGTGTTCCAGCATCCAGGGCTGGTGTTCCAGCATCCAGAGCCAATGTTCCAGCATCCCGAGCCAGTGTTCCATCTGGGGCCAGTGTTCAAAATGTAGTAATGCAAAATGCAAAACAGTCACCTATCTCTAGTAAAGAGTCTACAAATATGACAAACAAAAATCATAACCATAATGAATCCACAGAGCCCCAGCACCTAGGCAATGAGATTCAAACCCCCAAAAATAATCATCCCGATGAAAAATTTTCTTATACCACAGACAAGTGTACAGTTATTACTCTGTCAGGCAAGGAGCCATCATTATCAGATGCTTCTTCATCAGTATACCATGCAAATATTATATATGTTGGAGACAATATGAAAAATAATCATGGTAAAGATACTGTCCAAAGCAGCACTTTGGACAAAGCTAGTAAAAATACCAGTGATATGGATCCTGTTAGTATGCACACAAATATCTCATCTATTAAAGACAGTGTTGATGTGACAGCACGTCACTCTCAGTCAGAACATAAATTTGTCTCACAATCTGTGCAGCCTGTTGTGGCTGGAAAGAATCCAGTAGTTAATGATAAAAAATTAGATCATTCACAAGACTTATTACAAGTTAATGATGTTAGGAAAGATGATGATCAAAGTTCTACAGGACCCTATGTGACAGTAATAGCAGTGAGTGATCTATCAGACAGCTCCCTTCCTTCATACAAGGCTAATGTTACTTCATCTTCTGAAAATTCAAGCGATGATGAACTCTTGCTAGATGATCCTGTTGCCCTCACTAGAATGATAGTCCACAACTCTCGTATAGGCAACAGTAACAGCAAAAATCTTAGAGGGTTAAAGAAAATAGACCTAACAAAGGCATCAGTTCCAGCTAATTCTCCGTTTTCCCCATTGAGATCAAAATCGAGTAGTTTAATATGTGATTCAAGTGTTGTTGACAACGTCCCACAAAAGAAGCATGTAGGTCCTAGAGACTCTTGTGATGAAGGTGTACACTCTCAGTTGAGTGATATAGAAGTGGCTTCCTCAGGCACTTCCATGGAGTCTAAGTCACTTGGTAGTTTGGAGACCTGCGGCGAAGATGGACACGATGCCATGGTACAGTGCAGCTAATGTGCACATGTGCATGAATCAAAATGGGTTCACAGAATGAGGTATTATCTTGGATTTTATCATTGTGGGGTTTGCTTTCTTGTGGCTAGTTTCTTTCAGACACCAGAAAATTAGTTTTATCTTGAGTTACTACATTACAGTTTACTCTACACCTAATAATATACTGTACTTGCATATTGTGGCATTGTTGTGTGTACAATCACTAGTTTGCTTTTTAATTTGTGTGTTGTACACCCATATTGATTCTTTGCTTCATCATTTGTTCAGGACATTGCTTCAGTTGTATTCATATACAGTATTTAAATGCATTTTTGTTTTACACGAATCTGCCTCCCTTCTCTGAATTTATAGTCTGTTTTATAATACGTATCTTGATTTGTGATTTTGTTTGGTCCCACTTTATTTTTTTTTTATTTTGTGTGCCATCTACTTCATTATTTTATTTTGTTTTCCTTTCTGGCTTATTTAAATCTCTGGCAAGTCTCTTCCTATATTAGTTCCTAAATTGGTTCTCTTCCTATATTAGTTCCTATATTGGTTCTCTTCTTATATTAGTTCCTACATTGGTTCTCTTCCTATATTAGTTCTTATATTGGTTCTCTTCCTATATTAGTTCCTATATTGGTTCTCTTCTTATATTAGTTCCTACATTGGTTCTCTTCCTATATTAGTTCTTATATTGGTTCTCTTCTTATATTATTTATTTATTTTATTTTTTTATTTATTTATTTATAATTTGAGCACACTTACAGAGGTACAAAAAAAATACAGATAAGAGCAGCATGCCAAAGCCACTTATACTATGCATAGCATTACGGGCTGGCTTAAAATTAACTTAAGATTAACTAAGCAATGATGAAATCAGTGAAAAACATTAATGTAAACTGATTACTATAAAGCACAAGTGAGTATTACAAAGACAGGTCATATGGTTGCATGCATTGTTGTAAATTCAGTAGAATGGAGTATTCTGTTAGGTAGTGAATTTAAAAAATAATAAAGTTAGATTGGGTTTTAGGTTTAAACATTTATGTGATATAATTGTGAGAAACATTTAAGATATACAATTTATAAGGTTCAGTTATTCAGTATTTATTTGGTTTTGGGTGAGTAAGTGATCTTTGAGAAGAGACTTGAATTTATAAACAGGTAGTGTTTCTTTTATATTAACAGGTAATGAATTCCAGATTTTAGGGCCTTTTATGTGCATTGAGTTTTTGCATAGCGTGAGATGGACACGAGGAATATCAAAGAGTGATCTGTGCCTTGTGTTATGGTCATGTGTTCTGTTGAGGTTGGCAAGGAGATGTTTGAGGGGAGGGTTAATATCAGAGTTGAGTGTTCTATGTATGTAATAGGTGCAGTAATAAGTATGGATGTTTTGTATGGTGAGTAGGTGAGTGTATTGAATATTGGTGGAGTGTGCTGCCTGTAGTGAGAATTTGTTATCATTCTAACTGCAGCCTTTTGTTGGGTAATTAGTGGTCTGAGATGGTTACTTGTTGTTGAGCCCCATGCACAAATTCCATAGGTGAGATAGGGGTAAATAAGAGAGTGATATAGGGCCAGGAGGGCTGACTGTGGAGCATAGTACCGTATCTTCGATAGTATGCTACAGTCTTGGAAATTTTCTTAGAAATTTGTTGTATATGTGTATGAAATTTGAGTCTATTTATCAAGGTGGATTCCTAAGAATTTTCCCTCTGTTAGCTTTGTGATAGGTGATCCGTTATCATTATGTTAAGAGGGACATCTGTAGCTCTGTTACCAAACTGAATGAAGTAGGTTTTGTCAATGTTTAGTGTAAGTTTGTTAGTACTCATCCAGGTAGATATTTTCTGTAATTCGGTATTTACAGTATTGGCTAGCGTGACTGGGCTCGGGTGGGAGAAGACGTATGTTGTGTCATCAGCAAATAGTGTGGGTTTGAGTAATTGAGAAGCATTTGGTAGGTCATTTATGTATAGGAGAAAGAGAAGAGGGCCAAGGACACTTCCCTGTGGGACATCAACTGTAATTGGTTGTGCAGAAGAGTTTGCCCATTTGCGTACACATATTGGCTTCTGTTGCTGAGGTATGACTTGAGGTAGTTGAGGGAGTGCCCTCTTATACCATAGTGTGATAATTTTACGGTGAGCAAGTCATGGTCAACTGTATCAAAAGCTTTACGTAAGTCAATGAAGATCCCCAGTGGGACTTCTTTTTTCTCTATTGCAGTGTATATATGTTCTAGCATGTGTATAATAGCATCATTAGTATTTTTATTAGGCCTGAATCCAAATTGGCAGGGGTTTGAGTATGTTTTGGGAGATAAGGTAGGAGTAGATTCGTTTATGAATTAATTTTCGAAGATTTTTGAGAGAGGGTGTAAGTTGGATATTGGCCTATAGTTATTCAACTCTGTTTGGTCTCCTCCTTTGTGGATCGGGGTGACCCTTGCTATTTTGAGTACTGTAGGGAAGGTGGAGGATTCAATGGATTTGTTTAAAGAGTGTTGCAATGATTGGTGATAGCACTTGTGACACTTTTTTGTATATAAAGGGTGGTAAGGTATTTAAATCTCCTGCCTTGTTTTTTAGTGCGTTGATAATAAGGGAGACTTCGTATGGGTTAGTCGGAGCTAGGAACAGTGTGTTCGGGTAGTTGCCGGTGAGGTAGTCATTTGGTGGGGTATCTGAGCTTGGGATTTTATTGGCAAGGTTTTGTCCTATAGTGGAGAAGAAATCATTGAGTCTGTTTGCTGTTTCTGTTGGTGGGAGTTGGGGTTCATCTGATTTTGCTAATTTTATTTCGCTATTTCGTGATATCTTTTTTGTTCCCAGAATTTCTGATAGGGTTTTCCAGGTCTTTTTTATATCACCTCGTAAGTTGGATAATCTGTTCTCATAATACAATTTTTTTGCCCTTCTTATCAGGCTGGTTAGGATTGACGAGTAACGTTTTGTTTGGTCTCTGGTTATGTGACCCATTCTGTACTGTTTTTCATATTAGTTCCTACATTGGTTCTCTTCCTATATTAGTTCCTATATTGGTTCTCTTCCTATATTAGTTCCTAAATTGGTTCTCTTCCTATATTAGCTCCTACATTGGTTCTCTTCCTATATTAGTTCTTACATTGGTTCTCTTCCTATATTAGTTCCTATATTGGTTCTGTTCTTATATTAGTTCCTACATTGGTTCTCTTCCTATATTAGTTCCTATATTGGTTCTCTTCCTATATTAGTTCCTAAATTGGTTCTCTTCCTATATTAGCTCCTACATTGGTTCTCTTCCTATATTAGTTCTTACATTGGTTCTCTTCCTATATTAGTTCCTATATTGGTTCTGTTCTTATATTAGTTCCTATATTGGTTCTGTTCTTATATTAGTTCCTATATTGGTTCTGTTCTTATATTGTTCCTATATTGGTTCTGTTCTTATATTAGTTCCTATATTGGTTCTGTTCTTATATTAGTTCCTATATTGGTTCTGTTCTTATATTAGTTCCTATATTGGTTCTGTTCTTATATTAGTTCCTATATTGGTTCTCTTCCTATATTAATTACAAGTAATTTCTTATTTTTCTTGACTCCAGGACATTAGATTGAACTATTCTCTATTATTTAGTTTTTCTTTTCTGTTTTATAATATAATGATTCTATTTTCATGTGTTGTAGGACTCGTGGTATACTTTTTTTTATATTGTTTCATTACCTTTTAATCTTTTATTCCTTATATTCTTACCACTTTTTTCTTTTCCCTTCCCATATTCATATTTTATGCAAGACATTTTTAATGGGTCATGGTTGCTCTTTCCCTGTGGGTTGAGATGCAGTACTTTTTTTTTTTTAACATATTGGCTGTCTTCCACTGAGGTAGGGCAACCCCAAAAAAAGAAACACTTTCGCCATCATTCACACTTTCACCGTCTTTCCAGAGGCACACAGATATGACAGTGTAGATGTCACTCCTTTAGAGAGCAGGCATTGTACTTCCCACCTCCAGGACTCAATTTAGGACTATACTCAGTACTTGATACTCAGAAATCACCTCATCTCTCAATAACAATCAGTAATTGTACTACCTCATATTAATAATAGAGTAAACAAACTTAATTACAAACTTAAAAATGTATGTTTGTATCATAAATTGAACTACCTCTTATTAATAATAGAGTAAAATACTAAATATTTTTAATCTACCACTGTTCCACTACCACTACTTAAGTAGTCTTTCAGTGCAGGTTAAGTCTGCCTGAAATGCCTCGACATGATGGTGGCTTCTTTGTACCAATCATATTATGAAATGTAAACACATATTGTAACCTCAGCAAAGTTTTGATTTGATTTGATTTTGAAGTTTGACTAACTGAACTTTGTATAGTACAGTCCAGTCTCCAGCTGTTATCCAAATCAAGGTCAGAATTTATTATGCGAACATAATTTTGTTGCAGTTTTTGAAATGTAGTAGCGGCTTGCCTCTAGCAAGACAGTGATGGAGCGAGTGATGATGAAAGTGCTTCTTCTTTTTTTTCAGGTCACCCTGCCTTGGTGGGAAATGGCCAATGTATTAAAAAAAAAAATTATTTGTGGATTCTAGATTTTCAGGTCTCAAGGAAAATGACTCTCATGAATTTGGGGATCTGGCTGTACTGTAAATACTTTTAAATCTTGTACTGATAGTGTGTTTCCTTGTCACCCAAGTCATGTCCTTAACCTTTTCAGGGTCGCAACCCGTGCTCTCAAACTTGCTCTCGGGGTTGCAAAATTAAAAAAAGAAAAATATTTTTTGTTATGAAATGGTGGAGAATCTTTTTCTGAAAATAATAAAACAAAAAGTAAAAGAATTTGAGGGAAAACTGAAAAAATTATGCACTTGTGAATTTTGCTGCGTTAGCAATATTTACAATTCAGCGATTTCATGCATTTTGAGTCTGATCTTAGGCCAATTCAATTGTTTCAGTTGACCAAATTCTTAGCCACTTTCCTAGTATGTCTTCCATTCTGTTGACTGAGTACAAGAAATTACCCATTCATCTATTTAAACTACCCAATAAAGTG